CATGTAGGTGCTCTTGTAGAATGAAAGACTAAATGATCTCCGAGCTCTAAAATTTAATAATTCCAAAGAGATCAAATAGAGAAAAATTATTACTGAAAAGAAAACTTTACTTTTTCTTAACTAAGTTATCAGCAATTTTTTCATCTGTGATAAGCAGGTGAGTTTTCTAGGACATGCTCTCAGTTTCCTCTGAGATCAATCTTCTATCCATAATTGACACCCCAAATTCTATGTGTATATCAGTGCTATTATGGTAACAGGGGAAAAGTACTACTAAAATCTTTGAGGAATGATCCCTGATTCCTATGAGAAAATATTTCCCTTTTGGTCCTGACAATCTAAGCGTAGTTAGTTTTATCGCCTGTTGTCATTCCTACCTTGGCAACATTGACGGCAGACCCATAACCAGTAGAAAACCCACAGCCGATGAGGCAGACTTTCTCCAAAGGTGAGGCTGGATCGATCTTGACCACTGAGATTTCATCCACCACCGAATACTCAGAGTAGCTGCTGGTGCCAAGGAAGTGGTAGATAGGCTTCCCTCTGCAGGTGAACCTGGTGGTGCCATCCTCCATGGTCCCCCGAGGCACACTCAGACTGCACAGTGCAACAGAGACACATAAGGCATGAGCCAGGAGCATAGGGGACGTGCAAACTCACTGGGTGTGCAAGGACAGTGTCAGAAACCTACTCATTTTTCAAGCACAAGTTGCCTTCTGGGTGTTTACAAACTGCACATTTTCCACACTGGGGATTAAAGAGCGGGATGACTTTGTCACCTGGAAGGGAATAAAAAAAATTCTTAAATTTCTTCCCAAGTGTTAATAGATCAAGTACTTCAAGCTTAGGCATATATATTAGAAGCATGTATCTTTGCCAAGTCTCCCGAGAAATAGGGTTCAATCACCACCATGCCAGTGGTCACTGCCTGTAAAAATTGCTTTTACTTTGGGTTTATATGTGCCTAAAGAGTCCCAAAGAAGAAATACAAACGTGGGAAACACCATGGTCTTTTAATCATTTCCACTGTATCAAATAGTTATCTTTAATTGTGTAACCAGATGTCTACTGGGGCTTTACACACATCCTGTCATTTAGTTCTTAACTAATTACACCTCAAATGTTCTCACTGTAAGTATAAATACAAATTTTAGTTGCAAGTGAGCTGCCGTAGTTCCATTGGATGTTTTGGAGATCTGGCATTTTGCAATAGTTTGAGCTACGATCAAAAAAGAATTTTGATAATCATCATCCACAGAATTTCATGACTTTTCAGAGTCACTATGCTTATCTTTAAAGTGAATGCCTATTTAATTTATTTATTTTGTTCTTTTTCAAGGAAAACTAACAAGAATGGGACAAAGAATTCAACAAATTCCTTGGAAAACCTCATTCCTCAGCAATGAGGCAAGTACTTTCCTGTAGGATAAGAACTGACTTTCAAATGTTTCTAGCCAATTACTTACTTTGTGAATTATCCATTTTTTCTCTTAAGGCGGAGGGAGCAAGGGTGCAAAGTAAGAGTGTTGTTTTATAATTAATTTTTTTCTAACTAAAGGAAATACTAAGAGCTGAATCTCAAACCAGACAATTTACTTTTTTCTGTTCACAGTTCAGTTAAATTTGGTCGGTGAGAGTAGGGTGTGGTGGGGGGAATGGGTGAATCTACTGGCTAAAGTGATTTTTTAGCATTAAACATAATTTTTATTTTTAATCACTTTTGCAGTCTATTCACAAGACCAGGAAAAACTGTTAAACCATCATATCTAGTTGATATACTTTATGTGAAAACAACAGCATAGACATTTTCTATTGTGCTTACCTTTTACCTCTAAAAATATTTACCTACATTAATACACAATAAAATTAGGATAAAATAAATGTTAAAAGTAAATTAGACAACAATTTGTAATCAGCTATGGTTAACTATGGTTTAAGGTAATAAAACAGACAGTTTATGCAGGATGCCTGTTGTTAACCAAATAAAAAAAGAAATAAACTGTTGCCGTGGAGTTGATTCTGACTCATGGTGACCCCATGTAGAGTTTTCAATGGCTGATTTTTGGAAGTAGATCATCAGGCCTTTCTTCCAAGGCACCTCTGGATGGACTCGAAAGAACCTCATGTTGAGTCAGCCATACCCTAACAGCCCCCACCCTGTAA